GCAAGCCAATTTCTTATAATAAATCTCTATATGTATACTATACATATACATATAATATACTATACTATACATATAGGTGTGTGTGTGTTATTCTGTTTCTCTGGAAAACTCAGACTAATACTCCTTTGCCAACTCACTCGGTATTAGGCTTTGTCAATAGACATTACTAATGGGATACTGAGCGGCTACAACAGGAAGAAGCATTCCTTCTCTGTTCTGGGGTGCTGCTGCTTCATACTGTCAGCACCCGAGCCAGTTGACTGGCATGTTGGAAGCCCAGTGGTGCTTGCCTCAGCCACCTTTACAGACAAGCTACAGTTCTTATTCTCTGGAAGTTTCTCCATCTGAGAAGATGCACCTATGGACCAGCTCTGGCTCACTCGCCCCTTCGCATAAGTTTTTCTGCTACCCCACAGGTTGCTCCTATGGACCAGCCCTAATCCATGCCCTCTGGCAAGTTTCACCATGAACAAGCTACATGTTCCTATGGCAGCCATGATATTTCCAAAAGGACCTAAATCTTAGCCTTGAGGTGGGGAAGTTATTCTTTTAAATTCTTAGTTCCTTGCTTGTCAGCTCTTCCTCAGCCCTAGAAGTACTAGCTGATTTCTGCATTTGCTACTTCTGTATCCCTTTAAAGCTTCTTTAACCCTTTGAGTAGTTAACCACTTTTTACTAGTTAACAATTATTTATAATTTTAAACATTCCCTGTTTAAATAATTAGTGTGATTTCTGTTTCCTGATTGGATCATGACTGATACGCAATATACTTTTGATATTTTTTATTCTACTCTTTTTTTATTAATATTGATAGCGGAATTTGTAACCTCATAATGATTTGATGGAGGATAGCTTAAAAAAACACTTCTTTAAGGTATAAACTTTGGCATTAAACTGCTAGGTCACAGGATTATCTACACCTAATATCAGCAGTGTATAAGCATTACAACTAAAACGTATCTCTGCCAACATTTGAATATACCAGGCATTTTACTCTTCTCAAACGAATGTGTGTGGAACTGTCCATCATTCTGGTTTTAAGTTGCTGTTCCTTGACTGTTGACAAGATTATGTATTCCTGTGAAGTTCCTGATCATATTTTTGTTCACTTTTCTATTCACTTACTATTTATTTTCATTGGTTTATAAGAGTTCTTTTACATTCTGGTTGTCAGTTATAGCATTGAAAAACTTTTTTCCAGTCTCTAATGTGATTTTCGTCCTTTTTTTACATTAATCCATTACACTGATGCATAATCTATACAGTGAAATGCAGACTAAAATGTACAGTTCTATGAACTCAGACAAATGTAACACCAAAGTAACCTATATTTCACCAAGACATAGAACTTTTCAATCACCCTGAAAGTTCCCTCATGCCTGTTCTTCAGTCAATCCTCTCCCAGAAAAAAAACACTATTCTGATTTCTATCACCATAAATTTATAATGTTGTTTGTTCCTGAATTTCATATAAATGGAATCATACACAATGTAATCTTTATATCTGGTTCTTCTGTTCAACATCATGTTTTTAAGATTCGTCTATGTTGTTGCATCTTTATACTATTATCAATTTTTTACAAAGTTCTTTATTCTTAAGTAAATTTTTATTGATCTGTAACATCCATAAGTGTGCAAATCATTAGTCTACGGCTAAGTAAATTTTCAAGGCATATATACACATATGTCTACCACTCAGATAAATATTTGCATCATCCCAAAAGCCATTTTTGTCTCTTCTAGTCACACACCCTTAAATTGATACAGAAAGAAAAATAGATAAATTGTTACTACACACAACATTACAGATATTACAGATACACTCTTGGCAAAAGAAACAGATATGAGAGTGGTAATTTAACCACTATTTTGACAAACAGCACCAGCTACTAGTTTTCATTGGTTCTGTACTTTATATACATGGAACCATAACAGCATGAACACTTCCATCTAACTGGCTTCTTCTGTCAAGAGTGAATCTATGATATTTGTCTGTATCATGTGTAACAATTCATTCATTTGCCTCTATGTATCACAACACATTGTATGTATATACCGCACTTTACCGATTCTACTGCTGCTGAACATTTTGTGTTTTTTTCCCAGTTTGCAGCAATTATGAATAAAGCTGCTACAAACATTTTATACATGTATTTTGCTGTTGAATTTACACCTATGGGCAGAATTGCTGGATTGTAAGGTACATGTACATTCAACTTTCATAAATGATGCCAAAGAGTTTTTCGAAGTGATTATCCCATTTTCTCTCCCACTGGCAGTGCACAAGATTATCAGTTGTTTCACATCCTCACCAGCACTGGGTAGTGCCAGTGTTTTGAATTGTAGTCATTCTAGCAGCTATGTGGTGGTATATCACTGTGGTTTTATTTGCATTTCCCTGATGACTGACATTAAACACCTTTCTATATGTTTATGAGCCATTAGAATATGTTTCATGAGAAGCCTACTCAAGACTTCTCTCTATTTTTCTATTGGATTGTCTAATTTTTTCATTTAAAAAAATTTTTTAAGTATAGTTGGTATACAACCTTATATTGGTTATATTAGTTTCAGGTGTACAATATAGTGATTTGACATTTTTTATAACTTACAATGTGATCGCCCCATTAATTCTAGTATCATCTGTCACTGTGTAAACTTGCCCTAATATTATTGACTATATTCCCCTTCCCTTTTCATCCATTCGCCACCCATTTCCTTCTGGTAACCATCCCTTTGGTCTCTGTTTTGTTCTGTTTTTTAGATTCCACATATTGGATTGTCTTATTTTTGATTGACAGTAGTTAAACAGAAGTCCTTTGTCAAATATCTCTCTCACCCTGACTTGCCTTTTCCCTCCTCTTAATGGTATATTTGGAACAGATCTTCATTTTAATGAAGTATAACTTATTTTTTCCTTTGTGGTTAGTGCTTTCTGGATCTTTATAAAAGATCTCTTTCTACCCCAAAGTCAAAAAGAATATTTTCCTATGCTTCCTTCAAGGTGAATTACTGGTTTACATCTCACACTTAGCTCTGCTATCCATCTGGAATTGAGTGTGAGGTATATGCTGTGAAGTAGGGATCAAGATCCACTGCTTTGACTATTGAACCAATACTATTTATTTAATAGGTCATCATTTTTCATTCCAATTGGTCCAGCATCACCTATTATAAAGAACATCATTGTCCCATTGTACTGTAATTATCACCTTTTTTCATATATAACTGGACAATATACATGAAAGTCTTGTTTCTAGACCCTCTACCTTGTTTGTTTATTCCATCTTTGCCCCAAAACTATAATGTCTTAATTTATAATAAATCTTGATATCTGGATGTATAAATCCTCCAGTTTTATTATCTTCTTCATGATTGTCTTGGCCCTTTGTAACCTTTTGCATTTTCATATAAATGTTAGAATCAGCTGTTCAATTTCTATACCCAAAAAAAATAAAAAAAAAGCACCTGATGAATTTTTGAGATTGTAGTAAACCAAGATCAATTTTGGGAGAACTGACATCTTTACAACAGTGAGTCTTTCAATTCATAAATATAATAAATCTTTTCATTTACTTAGATATTCTTTAATTTCTATCAATAATATTTTTGTAGTTTTTAATGGAGATGTCTTGTATTTTTTATTAGATTTATTTCTAGGTATTTTATGTTTGTGATACTATATAAATAGCATTCTTTAATTCATTTTCTAATTCTTTGTTGCAACACGTAGAAAAACGTGTATTTAAAATGCCATCAAACTTGTAGCCACCAAACTTGCCAAATTCCCTTGTTTATTCTGTTTTTTTATAGATTCTATTTAATGTTCTACACTCACAATTATAACATCTACAAATGATAGTTTCAATTTTATCTTTTTATTCCTTATGCATTTTATCTTTCTTATCTTACCGCTCTAGCTAGTATCGCCAGTACAATGTTCAACAGATATGGTGAAAACAGGTAACCCTGTCTCCTTTTCATCTCAGTGAAAAATCCTTCAATGTTTCACAACTGAATATGATACTTACTGTAGGCTTTTTAGTAGATGTCCTTTGTCAGATTAAGAAAATTGCCTTCTATTCTTATTTTGCTAGTAAAAAGTCCTTTAAATCAAGCACTAAATTTTCATCATGAAGGGGTGTTGATTTATACTTCTGTTTTTAGAAAAATTTAAATAAGTGCTGCACTAGAGCTCCCTTTCCAGAAAAGCGCACGCCCAAACTTACATGGTTCCTTGGGTCATGGTACGCTGAACTTACTCCCATATCCACCTAAACAGTAGCCAACTGGATCAGAGCTCCACTTTCATGTGCACTGTCTCCATAGCAACACCGCAACATTTCAACTCTGCTGTATAATTTGAGATGGCTTCTAGTCATGCTGAACTGCTAGCCTAGGCTGCTCAGGTCATTTCCTATGGTATCAATTTTGTTTTTGTCAGTGCTCTGATTTTGTGTGACTTCTCTTAACTTTATTTTCCCATATATCTTGTTGATGTGAATGACTATTTTGAAGAATGTTATTTTTCAATAATGCATAAATGTTATAGCAGAAATACCCATATATGTCACAGAAGAGGATAATAGTCAAGCCAAACTTCATTTGAGCATATTTATTGCCTTGTTTTAATTATGACTAATCATGCCCAGCCAATCACACAGAAACATACAAAAGAACTGATACAATTCAATTCTATTCAAATGCAGCTAATAAGCATGGTGAAGATTATCTATCTAACTTAGGAAACCAAAAGTAATCATTTGACATAGTATGTAAAAATCATTTTCTGACAGCCAGCAAGTTAATTGTTGCTATGAGAGTCAAAATAGTTCATACCTTTATGAAACACAGATCAAGAAGTATTTTATAACAGTATATTATAATGTAGTTAGTTATGGTTTCAAAATGATTGCTTATAATCTGTTACTATATCTATATAAATATAAAACAAATATCCCAAATGATCACTATGTGTGTGCTTTACAGGCCCACTTACCTTCACATTTTTCAAGAATCTGGACTGTTTCTCCTATTTCTAAGACCAACCCTTGAGGGACAGATCCTCGAAAACTGCATATCACTAGAAAAACAAGGATAAATACATCAATTAGCATTTTTAAATATTGAGACAGTGTCAGTGTCCTTGAACTTAAATACTAAATCTTCTTAAATACATACTCTCCTTTCTTAACTAATCGTCTCTCAAATATGTAAGCCCCTAATCAATATTTTGAAAGGTGATATTAAGTAGTTCAGGACATTGAAGTACATTTTAGCAAAATTACTATTCCTGAGTGGTATGTGCATGCATGTGAAAGTATTTATGCAAAAATATTCTCTCTCTCCTTTAGTCTGACTTGTGTGTCCTTTTTGGGCAACTGTGCATCAATTATTTAAGAAAATACTAACACTGGAAGCTTCTTATCTAATATAAACAGATAGGTATTTTTACAAAGAATCACTAAATAAATATGATCCTGCTTTGAGAAACAGAGTCTCCATAATAAAAATAGAAACAAAAATTAATGAAATAAAAAGCAGATGTATAAGAGATGATCTATTGATATCAAAATCCCATCTTTATTTTTTAGAAAATTGATAAATTGATTCCAAAATTTATATAAGATTTCAAAGAACCAAGAATAACCTTGTCAACATTACAGAACTTATATTACCATATATCAAGCATTACAATCTAAAATTGGTTCTTTGAAAACACTAACACTGGTAGACACCTAGGCAAGACCAAGAAAAAAAAAAGTTATAAATTACCAATTATCAGCAATCAAAACTTTAAAACATTAATGTAATTAATAATAAATTATATACAAAATATTACAAAAAACTTTATACCAACAGAGTTAAAAATTCAGAACAGATGGACAAATTTATAGAAAGATAAAACTCATCAAAAACTGACAGACATTAGAAACTGGAATAGTCTTATATCTATTAAAGTGATTCTTTAATTAAAATCTTCACACAAATAAAATACCAGTTCTTATTACTTTACCAGTAAATCTGTCCAAACATTTGAGGAAGAAACAACACCAATCACAAACTCTCTCAGATAATAAGGAAAGAGGAATTCATTTGGAATTCAGCATGATAAAACCTGACAAGGACATTATAGGAAAGGAAAGTTACAGGCCAATCTCTCTCATGATCAAAGATGCAAAAATCTTTTTTAAAAAAATCAAAAGCAAATCAAATCCAACTATATATAAAAAGAATGATACATCATAACCAACTTGGGTTTATTACAAAAATGCAAGATTGATTTAATATTAGAAAATCAAAAGTAAAAATCATATGATCATCTCTATAAACGCAAAAGAGGCATTTGATAAAATGCAATGTCCCCTCATAACTAAAATTCTTAACAGACTAAGAATAGAAGGGAACTGCCTTAATCTGATAAAGGTTATATACTATGTGTCCATAGCGAACATCAAATACTTTGGTGAAATACTGTACATTTTACCACTAAGGTTAGGAACAAGAAGAGGATGTCCACTATCATTTCTATTCAACATTGCACTGGAGAGGCAACAGTGCAAATACAGCAGAAAAAAGAAATAAAAGGTATGTATAATGACTAGAAACAAAGAAATAAAAGTGTCATTCTCTACATGTTTGAATATGTACTTAAAAATCTGAAAGAAAATAGAGCTAAACTATAGCAGAGAATATCTGAGTGTAGCAAGGTTTCTAGATACAAGGTGAATTTTTTTAAGTCTTTGTAGAAATAAACAATTAGAAAATGAAATGTTTTAGAAATATACCATTTATAACAGGATTAGAAATGCCAAGTAATTATTAAAAAATCTAAGAGACCTATGGAAGAACTCTTTACAGAAAACTGTTAAGATATTACCATTAAAGATGTTAAAAGCCTAATAAATGAAGGTATATATCATATTAATGGGTTGCAAGACTCATAGTATATATAGATTTGCCCCAAATTTATCATTAGAGTCTATGCGATCCCAACCAAAAACAGGTGTATTAATATATTAAATAATATAGAAAAATCTCTATTAACTTATTAACTAAAGCAAAGAAGTGCTAATTCTAATTATGTTTACACGTCTGAAAACTATTAACCAAGTTTTCATTAGTGCTTGACGTAAATGGTAAAGTAGATGAAAATTTCAAAAGAGTAAAATTTAAATTTCAAAAACAAGAAAAATCTGAGAAACTTCACAGCCAAGAGCAGCCTAAGATGATGCAAAAACTAAACATATAGTGGTATCCCAGCTTGAGATTCTGGAATCAAAATAGCGGGGGGAGAGCTTAAAGAATCTGAATAAAGTACAGGCTTTAGTTAATAATAATAATGCATCAACATTGGTTCACTGTGACAATGTGTCATATTAATGTAAGACAGTAACAAGGGAAACTGGGTATAAAGTATGTAGAAATTGTAATAACTTCACAATTTTTCTAAAACATAAAAACTTCTATAGAAAAAGTTTATTAAAGATAAAAACATTTCAGTTCAAATCTTAGCCTTGTCATTTACTAGCTGTGTAGGCACATACTTAACCTATCTGAATCTCATTTTCTCATGAACAAAATGGTCATCAAATCATTTAAGTCACAGTCATTATGGCATTAATGGAAAAAATATATTATTAACAGAATACCACAATGCCAGGCTTATAGCTGGTATACAACAAATTGAGGCCATTATTTGCAGGGCGAAGACATTACATACACTGCAAAAAAGTCTTCATGCCTTGACTGAATCAGTGAGTGTACTAGTTAATTCTATTGAAGGTGTTGTTGGGAGATTCCCACAACAAATATTTGGGACATCTTATTCTTACCAGCTTGGTACAACAAAAACTATATGAACTGACCAGTAAATACTATTAAATACATAATCACTGACTTCCTATTAGGCTATAGAAGGTTGTGACAGGCCACTGCTCCTGCTATAACTATTTTTAAAATAATAATAAAAAATCACATGTTTTGTAGAGAGATCGGAGAACTGTGAACATAGAGAGATTTAAGAAACTAAATTTCAGAAAGGATAATCTCTTCTTAGGTGAAAAGAGACAGCAAACTACTCCGGACATTTGAGACATGGACAGATCAAGTCTGCCACAAAGGGACTCTTGCTAGACTCAAAAGAAAACAGTGATGTTCTTAAGAAATATGTAAAGTGGCATAACACAGTAGAATCTGGAAGAGTCCAAAGTGCAGAGCTAGTACTTCCACATACTGCTTAATTTCCAGAAGAAAAACTTTTGCTGAGTGGGTAGGTAGCAGGCTGGAAAGGAAGAAAGAAGTCTCTGGTTTCAGGTACCAAAAGTCCTACTAGAAGAAGAAACCTACAATACACACACACAATAAATCACACTCTAAAGAAAATTTGAAACCAGAGGTGAACATAAAGTAACTGATGGTAAGACCCAGCCCCAACCCAGCTCAAAACACCCTTGATGTAGAAAAACACATGCCTTCTCTGGGGGAAATGATATTCACTTCAGTCTCTACTGCACGTATAAACACAAGGCCCGGCATGAAATCTGAGATAATATACTGAAAAAAACTGAAAATGTGGCCCATACTCAATAAAGTCCAATAACCATACCCTCGAATGACCCAAATGTTGATACCAGGATAAGAGAATTTTAAATGACTAATATCAACAAACTGAAGAATTGATAAAAGATGAACAAAATAAATGAAAGAGGAAATTTAACAGTTTTAAATCTCTAAGTTAAAAAAATAGAATTTAAAACTAAAAATTAGAATATTAAAAATTGCATATTCACTGATTGGGCTTAACAAGAAAATGAGCAGGGCTGAAGAAAGTATGAGTGAACTCCAAGACAGGACAGTAGAAATTACCCAAACAAAACTACAAAAATTAAAAAAGAATGAAATAAAAAGTATAACAAATATGTGAGCTAACGGCATCTCCAACCCATGTGTAATTAGAGTCTCAGAGGGGAGAGAGAGAATAAAGCAAAAGAACTATTAGAAGAGATAATGGCTAATAATTTTCCAAAGATGATAAGATGCTTACATTAGAAAAAAAAGAAAAATCTCAAATCAATTATCTAACATCCCACCTTAAGAAGAAGCAGTTTAAATCCAAAGAATGCAAACAAAAAGAAATAAAAAAGATACTAGCTACAATTAATGAAATAAAAAAGATCAAACAAGTGAAAAAAAATCAATGAAACCAAAAATTGGTTCTTTGAAAAGATTTCTACAATTGATAAATCCCTAGCCAGAGTGACTCAAAAAAACAACAACAACAACAAACCCTTCTACAAAAAGACTTCCACAAGAATGCTCTTAGCAGCTTTGTTCACAATAACCCAGAACTGGAAACAACTCAACCATTTATCAAGAAGAGAATAGATAAAATACACGATACTGATACAATGCAATACCACTTAGTGATAAAAAATAAAAACCAACTGATACAAGAAACACAATGGATGAATATCACAATCATTATGCTGAGCAAAAACGTTAGGTACAAAACTGTACATACCACATAGTTCTATTTACAAAAAGATCTAGAAGAGGCTAAATTAAGGTGAATAAAATCTGAACACCAGTTGCTTCCAGAGGAATATGGATTGACTGAGTAAGCACAAAAAGAACATTCTGGGAAGACAGAAATAGTGCTGGGGAGTGGGTTACATAAGTCAAACCTGTACAATTAAGACTTCTGAAATTCAGTACATGTGAACTGTACCTCAAAATGGATCAAAGACTGAATGTAAGAGCTAAACCATAAAATTCTTAAAGAAAATACAGAAGTCTCCATGACCTTAAACTAGTCAATGCTTTCTTATATATGACATCAAAATCATAAGCAAGAAAAGAATAAATAAATTGAACCTCATCAAGCTTAAAAACTTGTGTGCTGCAAGGACACCATCAAGAAAGTGAAAGAAGACTCCCTGAGGAATGGGAAATTTTTGCCTATCAAACACAGCAGGTCCCTGAACAGTTTCATTCAACATCTTTTCATAACTTTGATTGAGGGGGGGAGAGGAATCGATTCTTGGGCAGGACCACTGGCCATGTGGAGTGTGCACGTTCTCACCTTGTTTTCTCCAGATACTCTTGTTTCCTCCCA